ACTACAACTCAAAAAAACAAAAAAAAAAAAAAAAATCTATTCTGCCTGTGAGAGGAAGGGCCTGGATCTTAGATAGCTTTCACTGAAGCCATAAGGCTCGTGTTTACCATTTAAGACTTGGGGCCTTGTCTCCTCTGACTAGGAGAACTGAAGGCATCTTGATTCCCTTCCAGTTCCATGAACACTGTTCTTTAATCAGCTGTAGGCATCACTGTGGCCCAGAGAAGGCACCGCCCCTTCCTGCAGCTGCCAGCACCTGCCAATTCCAGTCTAGGAGCAGGAGAGAAGGGTGTTCTCTGAGTGCGCAGGACACTGTTGTTTCTTATGTACATGAAACTATAGAATAGAGCCTAGAACCCATTGCCTTGTTAATAGATGCCGAGCAGAGAAGCATTCTCAAGACTTAAAAGCAAAGCCAGGAACCCGCATAAGCCACCAAACATATTTATTGTGTGATACTTGTGATATTGAAAACATGGTTTTTCATTTCCACTGTCACTAAGTTCATCATCTTAATGAAATGCAAAAAAGGAAAAATGGATAACTAGGAAGTAAAAGTGTATTGTTAATAATATTGTTGGCCGGGCTCGGTGGCTCAGCCTGTAATCCCAGCACTTTGGGAGGCCGAGGTGAGTGGATTGCCTGAGCCCGCAGGTTCGAGACCCGCCTGGGCAACTTGGCGAGACCTCATCTCTACAATAAATCAAAAAATCATCCGGGCGTGGTAGTGCATGCCTGTAATTCCGGCTACTCGGAAGGCTGAGGCAGAAGGATCGCTGGAGCCCAGCAGGTCAAGGCTGCGGTGGCCGGGAGCGGCCACTGCACTCCAGTCTAGGCGACAGAGTGAGACTGCAACTCAAGAAATAATAATAATAATATAATAGTAATATTGTTGGCCAGGCTCAGTGGCTCAGCCTGTAATCCCAGCACTTTGGGAGGCAGAAGCGAGTGGATTGCCTTAGCCTGTGGGTTTGAAACGAGCTTGGGCAACTTGGCGAGACCTTGTCTCTACAATAAATCAAAAATTAGACGGGGGTGGTAGCAGGAACCTATAGTTCCAGCTACTTGGAAAGCTGAGGCAGAAGGATCACTGGAGCCCAGCAGGTTGATGCTGGGGTGGTCGTGAGTGTGCCACTGCACTCCAGCCTGGGTCACAGAATGAGACTCCAACTCAAAAAAAAAATTGTTAGTTGGGTGTGGTGCTTCATGCCTGTAATCCCAGCACTTTGGAAGGCCACAGCAGGAGGATTGTTTCAGCCCAGGAGTTCATGATCAGACCAATTTAGTGAAACTGTGTTTCTACAAAAAAAATTTAAAAAGCAGCCAGGCATGGTGGTGTTCACCTGTAGTCCCAGCAACTTGGGAGGTTGAGGCCTGCATGAGTTCAGGAGGTCAAGACTATGGTAAGCCGTGATCATGCCACTACACTCCAGCCTAGGCAACAGAGTGAGACCCTGACTCACAATAATAATAATAATATATATATATTTTTGAGTTGGATTCACACTCCATCACCCAGGCTGGAGTGTAGTGGCATGCTCACCGCCACCCCAGCGTTGACCTGTTGGGCTCAGGTGATCCTTCTGCCTCAGCCTTCTAAGTAACCAGAGCTTCAGGAGCGCACTACCATGCCCAGCTAATTTTTTTTTTAATATAAAAAGGCTTTATTTGCAGGGAACAGGAGTTCAGTCAAACAGGCCAAACCCCACATCATTGTCTGACTCTTCGGACTCCTCCTTCTTCATCTTTCTTCTCCTCTGCTGCAGTGGGGGCGGACCAGCAGCTGGGCAGAGCCTGGGGCAGCAGAGACGGCCACAACCCTGCCGTCAGGCACACTGGCAAGCTTGCCGATACGCTGGGCAATGACATCCTCCATGTTCTTTCCGTTCAGCTCATTGATGATCTTGTTGAGCCAGTTATCATCCACCTCGATGCTGACGTTGTCCAGGATCTTCTTGATGTCCTTGGCGCTGGGTGAAGGGTTGCCCCCAAGGGCGGCCAACAGATAGGATACCACGTAGTGTATCTCAGCGGCAGCAGAGGCAGGAGGAGGCCTAGTGCCCTGGCTAATTTTTTGATTCATTGTAGAGATGAGGTCTCGCCAAGTTGTCCAGATTGTTCTCAAGCCATGGACTCAGGCAATCCCTTCACCTCGGCCTCCCAAAGTGCTGGGATTACAGGCTTGAGCCACCACAGCCCCGACCTGCTAGGCTCAGGAGATCCTTCAGCCTCAGCCTTCCCAATGGCTGGAACTACAGGCGTGAACCACCATGCCCAGCTAATTTTTTGATTTATTGTAGAGACAAGGTCTCTCCATGTTGACCAGGCTAGTCTCGAAACCCTGGGCCCAGGCAATCCTCTTGTCTCCACCTCCCAAAGTGCTAGGATGACAGGCATGAGCCACCATGCTGGGCTAGTAAATATGTTTATATATTTCTGTGTGCTTTCTGAATAAATCAGATCATAGTGCTCAGCTACTTGCTCCTTTTAAAATTCAACATTTCTTGGGGATATTTGCACGTCTGAACGTAAGCTCTGCCTTAGCCATCTCATTAGCTGCACTGTATTCCACGAACACAGACTATGTCATGGTCGTCATTGATTCTATCAACGTAGCAATATTACAATGATAAGTCAGTGCCTGCTTGGCTGCACTGAAGCTGGTTCCCCATTTCCAGGTCTAGGCATCAAATACATATATGCATGTGGCCACCATCACTTCCATTCCCTGGAGACTCCTGGCTTCCCTCTCCTACCCTGGGACTTGGGTGTGCCTAGGTGCCTCTCCTGTGCTGGGCTGAGATGATCCTTCCACCTCAGCCTTTCAAGTAAGCTGGAACTACAGGTGCATGCTACCATGCCCTGCTTATTTTTTATTTATTTATTGTAGAGACGAGGTCTCATCAAGTTGCCCAGTCTCGTCTCGAACCCCTGAACTCAGACAATCCTCTTGCCTCGGCCTCCCAAAGTGCTGGGAATACAGGCTTGAGCCACTGCACCCGGCTTTTTAAAAATTTTTAATTTAAAAAAATTTTTTTATTAGAAACTGGGTCTTGTTATATCACCCAGGCTGATCCTGAACTCCTGGCCTCCAGGGATCCTCCCACATCAGCCTCCCAAAACGCTGGGATTACAGGGATGAGCCACCATGCCCAACCTGTATCTCTCTTATAAAGACATTTGTCATTAGATTTTGGACTCACCTGACTAATCAGTAATCTCATCTCAACATTCTCAACTTAATTACATCTGCAAAGACATTTCTCCAAAAACAAGATCACATTCACAGATTCCAGAGATGAGGATGTGGACACATTTATTTGGGTGGCATCATTCAGCCCATAACACTGTGTGTGAAAAATTTAAAAAGGAAAAGATTGAAAAACAAATCATTATCAGTAGTGATTAGTTTCAGGAGGGAAAATTTTCCAAATTTGCTATAATGAACCTATGTAAACTTTACAATCAGAAAAAAACCAAGAAACAAAAACAGTAGAGAAATATCAATAACCACCAGCACTACAAAAGCAAACACAGGCAGGTCGTACTCACACATACCCACAAACAATTGACCCTGACACGTTGGGAAGGCGTGCAGAGATCATGGCCTCAAACTCAGTGACACTGGGGTCCTCGGCCAGCCTTGGGTTCTTGGCCAGAACCACAGACATGTTCGCCTTCTCTCATGTAAGGTGAAGCCTTGGCTTGGGACCCATGCTTGGGAAGAGCCAGAAGAGGGAATTATTTTCCTGTGTTGACCTGTAGAAATTAAAATGTTTTTCTCCCAAGAAGCAACGTTACTGAGTCGAGGTTGCCAGCTTGGGCTGATTTAAGCTGCAGAAGCACCTTGTTTTAACTGTATTGTGTTGAAAATCTGTAATTAGTTGCCAACTATTTTCACATGAAAATTTGGGTTTTGGCTTCTGTTGTGTGGAGTCCTCCTATGGCCGGTGTCTGCTGGAGCCGGGTGTGGCAGCACCATGGGCACACGCGACAGTGTCTGGCACTCCTTGTTTGTATGTCATCTTTGACCACATCAGATCTTTGTACATGCAGGTCTCCAATGCATAGACTAAAATGGTTTTGTGGTGTTATGTGCACTGAGGACTGCATGGCGTGTGCAGGTTTGCTGGAAAACCCATGCACTCCTGCTTCTGGAGAGAAATGTTCTAGGTTCCAAATGGCCAACACACAACCTCAAATCCTGCACCAGCTCATGAACTTGTGACTCCTCCATGGTGATGTCCTGTTGTCTGCCTATACAAGCGATGGAAGGTGTGTATTGGTGTGTGCATGCAGAAATCAGAACTCAGCCTCACGGGCTACTTGAGAAGGAAGTCTCAGCATTCCACTGTGGGAATGATGCCATCTCAGACTGTGTCAGCATGCAGGCGGCGTGTGCACCCGTGAGTGTGGATGTGCCCAGAACACCAGGGCAGAACCTGCCTTCCCAACCCAACTGTGAGAATTAATAAGTCATGAGCCTGAATTAGCCTCAACTTCCCTGGGTTAGCACCCAGTACCTTCATAGAGTTCCCTGCCGGAAACTGCACTGACTCGTGGCAGGCGTTTCTGGTGAAGCTCTTGAATTTTTCATCTGAGTTGAGCTGTGGAGGTCAGCAGAGGTGGAACGCTCTCCTGGGCTGCAGGGAGTATTGCCTCAATGGAGCTGGAGCCCTGTAGAGGTCCTGTTCTTAAGGTTTCCCCTCCTAAACTAATAAGTATGTATGAGCACCTGCCCTGTTCAGGGCCCTGGGGTGGGGCACACACAGAAATGAAGATGTGATGGTGCTTGCAAGCCAAGGAGAGTTCAACCTGGTTGGGATTGGGGACATGAGGAACAAAACGTTAAAACAGCATGATGTGGCCGGGCTCAGTGGCTCAGCCTATAATCCCAGTACTTTGAGAGGCTGAGGTGAGTGGATTGCCTGAGCCCGTGGGTTCTAGACCCACCCTGGCAACTTACCGAGACTTCATCTCTACAATAAATAAAAAAATTAGCCGGGCATAGTAGCGTGCGCCTGTAGTTCCGGCTACTTGGAAGGCTGAGGTGGAAGGATTGTCAGAGCCCAGCAGGTTGAGGCTGTGGTGGACGGGAGCGTGCCACTGCACTCCAGTCTGGGCAACAGAGTGAGACTCCAACTCAAAAACAAAAAACAAAAAACCCCAGCATGATGTCGGACAAAGCAGATGAGATGTCATAGCCATGAGTGGTGGGTCGCCAGATGGTCAGTGGAGATACCAAGTGTGTCTTCTGTACCCTCAAGGAAGTGGAGCATCATTTCTGGCGGGCGTGGTCAAGCGGTAGAGGTGGTGACCAGGTTGAGTCCAGGTAGAACAGAAGCTGCAACACTAGTAGACATGTGGCCGTGGGGACTCAGCTGAGACAACACCAGCAGACACGTGGCCACGGGAAATGGAAGGGGCTTTGACTGTGACAGAGAGCCAGGCTAGAAAGCTCAAGGTTCAGGATTGTGGAGGGCCTTGAATGACAGGACACCCAATTCCAAATGGGGAAGCCTGGGAAACTTTTGAGCCAAGGCATGCTGTGATCCAAGGAGTCGGATGCCAGAACGTTGGGAGGGAGGGAAGACTTGAGAGAAGCAAGGAGCTCCTGTGGAGAAATGACTGACACTGGCATGGACAGAGGGCTTGGGAAGAAGGGACAGGGAGGAAGACTCATGGACTTGATGGAGACCAGAAGGTGGTAGATGGAGGGGGAGCAGCATGGTACAGGGGCCTCTGGGTTTAGAGACAGGCACTAGGGCCATGGTAGAGTTGCTGACTAAAGAGCCCGTGTGGAGGGAGGTCCCCGTGAAGGGAGGTCCTGGGAGGTGGCTGGGAGGGCAGGCTTGTCCAGTCCTGCTTTGAGGCTCTGATGGGCATCCAGACCAGGACTCAGCCCCAGTTCTGCACTCTTAGCTGCCACCTGGTGGTCCCCACACATCCTCTCTGTCATGCTCTGAGCACTTAGCCACAGTGCTGCTAGGACCCAGTGAGAATACCAGCACTCACTTGGTTGACTTTCAAGGCCCTCTGGCTGGTGGTCACAGATCCCACTGACCACCTGCTGTGCATCCTTGCTGGGTTGAGCAAGGGTCTCATGCCAAGGGGCTGCCCAAGCCCATGACTCCTTCTGCTGGCCTCTGGGATTCAGCTGGCTCCGGACCTGCCTCCTGTTCTCCCTGCTGTCCACTGCTGGGAAGTCCTTCCTCTTGCTGACTTCACATGGCTCACACTGAATCTGACTTCCCCATGGGATTCTGGTGAGCCCCCTTTCAACCAGTCCTTCAGCATCCGTGAGCTCCTGCGTATGTGGTGAGCAACTCCAACAAGGGTGACACGGCATCTCCAGTTCTGCTGAGTGTTGTGAATTGTCATGGTGACTTCACAGAGTGGAGGACAGACAGGCACCCCGGCCACTGGGGCTGCAGCTGAATTCAGAGGCAGAACCTCACAGGAGGCCCACGGGTGGCGCATCAGAAGCTGTGTTGAATGGGCCTCTGGGGAAGCCAGCCTATCTCCTTTTCTTTCTTCCTCATTTGTCCTCCTCAGTTTCCTCGCCGAACCTCGAGTCCTCTTTCTGCCCTGGGGCCTCCACTTGGATCATCTTTCCCCACAACCAGCCTGCATCGATATTCATCCTAAAAATACCACCTGCTCCATGGCACAAGCTGAAACCATGGCAGGTGCAGAGGCTGGAACGTGTAAACGCAACTCTCAGGTAACATAGAGGATGCCAGTCTCTGCAGCCTCATTTAAAACGCTATTTATATTCGCAGAGCCTCTAATAGCATTTGTATTGTGTCTGCCTGTGATGTGGGTGCATTTCCCCCATGCCAGTTTCTTATTATCGCACAACGCCGGCCACGGCCTTCGATGATAATGAAGCAGAGGCGCTCTTGGAAGGCACCACGTGTGCCTCCCGCCCGAGGGGGCTGGTTCCGCGCTGAAGCGGCCACTCCTGCCTGCCTAGAAAAGCATCCGCATCCCTGCAGCATTGACTCAGCCTTTTATTCTTCTGTGGAGAATAAAATTGAACACCAGGCTATTGAGTGTGTGGGTGTCTCTCAGATGACGCCTTAGACCAGAGGCTACGTGGCCGCGGGGAATATTGGCGTTTCTGTTCTGGCCTTGCACCGGACATCACCCTTCAGGCCTTTCTTTCCCAGCTCCTGTGGTTTCTTTGCTTCCATGCTATGACTGTTGTTTTCACTCCTTGCTTTTCCAGTGCATTCGAAAATCAAGCCACAGGCCAGGCTTTGTGGCTCAGCCTATAATCCTGGCACTTTGGGAGACTGAGGTAAGTGGATTGTCTCAGCCCGCAGGTTTGAGATCAGTGCAGGCAACTTGGTGAAACCTCAACTCTACAATAAATCAAAAATTAGCCGGGCATGGTAGCATGCACCCGTAGTTCTGGCTACTTGGAAGGCTGAGATGGAAGGATCGCCGGAGCCCAGCAGGTCGAT